TGAAGGTAACCCCAAAACCCCAAAACCCCAAAACCCCACAGTTCAAGAATTAAGTAGATAGTTTGAATGAGTAGAATTGAGAAATAATTTCGATTGCATTGATTGAGTATAAAAGATATCCAATTAGAGGAATTAGTATTAAATATAATTTTGAGGTTACCTTCAAAAATATGAGCAAACTCACCCAAGCTTAAATCACTGAAGCTATCAACACCATCCTTGCCGACAAGAAGAAGAGAAAGTTCTTGGAGACTGTTGAACTCCAAGTTGGTCTCAAGGATTACGACCCACAAAAGGATAAGAGATTCGCCGGTACCGTCAGACTTCCAAACATCCCAAGACCCAAGCTCAAGATCTGCCTCATTGGAGATGCCAAGCACATGCAAATCGTTAAGGAAAACAACATCGCCATCGATGCCGTCGATTTCGATTTCCTCAAGACCTTCAACAAGGACAAGAAACTCATCAAGAGTTGGGCCAAGAAATACACCATCCTCCTCGCCACCGATACCCTAGTCAAGAAGATCCCAACCGTCCTCGGACCCATTCTCAACAGAATCGGTATGTTCCCACAAGTCGTCACCCACAACGATGACCTTAAGGCTAAGGTCGATGATGCCAGAGCTTCAATTAAGTTCCAACTTAAGAAAGCTACTTGCATGAACGTTGCCATTGGTAACGAGTCATAATCCGAGGAAGAACTCAGACAAAACATCCTTATGGGAATCAACTTCTTGGTCTCACTCCTCAAGAAGGGATGGCACAACCTCAAGTCAGTCCACATCAAGACCTCCATGGGAAAGCCATTCAAGATCATCGGCTGAATTAGACTGACAGACATAAGTTCCTTGACATTAATTTTATAAGAACAGTTAGCGATACTTTAATTTTACCAAAGGTTAACTATTATATGGTTTTCCTCTTGGGAGCTAACTTTCACGCTCATCAATGTCACTATATGTCAAACAAAGTATGTATTTTTCCCCTTTATTTATACCTGACCCCTTTTCCAAGTGCTTTAGCAAACTCCCAAGTGAACAACCAGCCAATATACATTCAACTTTACAACTATTTACCAACAATTGAGTTGGTATTCACCTAGAAAATAGACCATCAGAATTGAGTTTAAAAGTGTAAGTCACTTACATTCAAGAAGCTCATTTCTGCTTTTGGTCTAATTCTACATCCCTAACATCATACTACTCAAAGATATCCTTGGCTGGCACTTGAGCGATGTTTGCTACAATCTCTACGAGTTAAAAGCACGCGTCCTACAATATACACAATTTAATATCACAATTTTATTAGGTTGTCTGATTTATATATACATCACTAACTTATAATATATGTCTAAAATTCTCGGCAGAAGATAGAAAGCTATCATGAAGCATCACTTACCTTAAGATAATTATACTCATGCAGCAAGTTAATATACTGCTGATCATTGTTAAGCTTGTGCTTCAATGCTTCCTGTTCTTGCTCCATCTTGATGATTTACTTTACGATCTCCAATTTTTACTTATCTTCAGATTCCTCTTTTTGCGCCCCAATTTTACTCTCATTCGAGTTAAATTCATCCAACTTTTCGTCGCTTCTGGCAGTTTAATCATTAGAATTAGTATCTTGAGTCTTATCATCATCGTAATCATTCCTTGACTCTATTTTCTACTTCATCTAGGCGATTTTATCAAGAACCTGCTGCTCAATGTCTGTGGATTTTTACTCTAGCAATTTTACAGTCTGTTTCTTATCAATACTTTTCCTCTAATATATTTGCTTATAGGCTTCTGAAGTCCTGTTTCTAATAACCCATACACTCTAATCCTCATCAACTTTGTTTTACACTTAATGACTAAAAATTAGCTTAGTAAAAATGTCTTACATAATCTCATTTTTAAGTAAATCTTGCAAAGTAAAGTCTATATCTGGATATTTGAATTCCAATTCCTTTACAATATCGTCATATTTAGCTAGACCACTTTATTCTTTCAAGTAGTCATAAATGTGCTTAACTACTTCAAAGCTAAGCTAAGCAGACTTTGGCTTCGATTTAGTGGGAGATTTTGGCTGCTCTTTTGACTTTTACATTTAATTCGTCAATTTAAATTTAAAGTTGTCGTTTGTGATTTATTAATTAATGGGATAATTATTTGGAATTAAGCTTATCAAATGTAGTCAAAATTAAAAATAATCATATCTTAAGTTATCAGAATGAAAGCAAAGAATAAAATCCTTCTTATTTGTGAGCTCATACTTTTTCATCTCTATACTAGTCTATATCTTGACCTAATTCAGCATCATCTATATTAATCTCAACTTTGCTAGTAGTGAATTGATAACTGTAGGAGCATTTATATTTTGACTCTATCATTGGATCAACTCTTGATATTTTTCTTATCGCCCTTTAACCTGGCTATACATCAACCTTAAAGCTAGTTGCTCCATCTGGCTCATCTTAGATTCTTAGATTAGTCAGCTCAAAGTTGAATGTGCTCTTAAACAGCTTCTTTTTTTCTTTATTCTCAAACAAGAATATGTACTGCTCATTGAAGAAGTGTACTGTGTAGGTCATATCCTAGTCAGTGCTTCCATACTTGAATCTCTTTACCTACCCAAATTGCTTCACAGTTCTTATGATATCTTCTTCTGTCGTGACTATTTCAAAGCATTTGAAGCTGTATGAGAACTTATAGCCCCAGGGCTAAACTGGATCAAGCATCACTAACTTCTTGATTTTGACTTCTCCGGGCTAAAGGTTGATGTCCCAGGTACTAAGTAAAGGGTCTGAAGGGCCTGAGGGTGTCTCTCCTTCACTACAAAGATTAGTCAGTTCGAAGTTGAACTTAGCCTCAAACTATGTCGAAGCAGATTTGTTTTCAAATAGCCAAAAATATCCCACTCCAAATAAAAGAGAATAGAAATAGATATCTTTGTCCTCTCCTTGATAATTTATCCTCTAAACTTTTGCTTTGTCATAAACTTGATTCAGATAGTAATCATCTGGGTATACAACAGATGTGAAGTAACTGACGCCGTAGCTGGCTTATCTATCAGTTCTTCTGAGAATAATGATAGCATTTTGATTTGGAGTTATATTCACAGTTATTTAATAATTGCCTCCTTTCTACGCCTTGTCATATGGAGGTAGTACCTCGAAATTTTCCAATTTGTGAAACAGACAAGTTTCCTACATGGTAGTCTCTTGCTTAGTGTCATTCTGATAATATATGTAACCGTACTCTGCTCCACTATCAGTTATTGAAATGGCTCTAAAGGCATCTGGCTCTCCCTTATCTTCAAAGTTCTTTCTCTGAGTTTTTTATCTGGCACAGGATTTAAGCACCTCCTCCAAGAAGTTGGGGTGCTCGTTTTCGCCTAACAAACTTAGTTCAACCTAATCAGTAGATGCATAACTCTATAAGACATATTCCTTGTATATATCTTGTCTCCAGTCGATTTCAACAAGCAATATGTACTCACCAGGTTCATACTCATCTTTGCTCTCCACAGTCACATTGTCATAGTTTGAGCACTTAGACTCCAAAAAGGTAAACATCTCAGCGAAGTTCTCTTCATTGTACCTGCCCAATATGATCTTCACAAAACTAGTGTCGTAGTTTTCAGACCCTTTCAAATTTTATGCTACAAATCTTTTTGTTGGCTAAACTACAGTTGCAAATATTTTTCCCTTCTCTTTCAAAGTTATTTTGATTAAGTCATAAGGTCTTGCGCCAATACTAGACTAGCCAGCCATAGGCTTGTTTGCACTATCAATTTTGATAGAATTGTGATGAAAGCCATCATGAACTTTGCATATTGTGGTGCTGCGATAGTAATTCATGTAGTCCTAGTAAGAAATGAAAAAGACACCATCATCTGCATCTACAAATTCCAGCTTCTTCCTCAGTTCATCTGTCCATTTGCTTGATTTATCAGACCAGTCACCCATCCATTCTTTATGACCCCAAGGATTTCTAAGTTTTAGCAGCTTTAGTCTTCCATATTCCTGAGTCTAGATATCAACAGCTTAAATCACAGCATATGCATGATCACTAACTAAGCCGATCTTATTGTAATCCTCATCCGATAAGTTTGTTTTCCCAGCTGAAGTGCAAATGATATAGTTCCTTTAGTCAGCTTCGACAATTTAATCCCAGATATCTTCAATGTAGTCATGATTATGAAATTCCACTGGCGCTCCAGTCAAGCATCTGAAAGCTTCGCTTGCAAACCCGGTTATAGTGTTTTCGTAGGTATGATTAATCTTAGCCCATACTTTTTCAAGTATTAGTACCCATAATTCCTTATTTTTAGTTTTAGAGAAGGCAGGAGTTAATTCGCTGTTTCCAAGCCCATCACCATCTGCACATGGAAACATATCATCTATCACAATGGTCTTGAATTCACCGTTAAGGCATATCTTGACTGCATAGCATCCTGAAGAGTTGCTCTCCTATACCGCAAAGATATCCTTGATTCGCTATGGAAATTCTGCAATAGCAGATAAAGCAGAGAGGAAGTAGCAGTTACCAAGATCGCCTTATAGAATGTCATTAGGGCTAATGTCCTCAAAAAATATTGAGAAAGTCTCAGAGTCAAATAATTCTTAAGGTCTTGCCCATCTGAATTAGGACCACTGGTTCTATTAGATGTAGTTTAGCTTAGTATTTCTATTTGAAAGTGATGAGCTGTTAGCAGGGAAGTCACTGTCAATAAAAGGAGTGTTCTTTTGAATGATGAAGTTATAATCTAATTCTTTCAAATGTGGAAGTAAGTCCCTTCCTCCTGGTTTAGTAGTACTTATAACTATAATTCAAGTTTAAATTAGATTAAACAGTAATACATGAACTTGGTATTGAACCTGCTTGAGATTTCTGCATTTTAGACTTATTTATTTAATTTAATATAATTTTTTATAATTTTTGTGTAGAAAAATATTTAGAATTAGGGGTTTTGGGGTTTTGGGG